AGAAAACATATAACATAGATCAGAAAATAGCGTAATATATGCCCTTTAAAATCCACACTCTCTATGATTCAGCTCCATGCTAGACCTTTTTTTCCCTTTAACTTTATTTGCTCAGAGAAGTACAGACATTAAACAGTCTAATTAAACAGCTACACATGTTATTCTATGTGGGCCATGTGTCTAGTGAACAGTTTTAATCTGCAAAATGCACATTGTCTCATCAGTGCAGTAAATCTGAGGAGTGATTGTGACCAGGATACTCGTGTGTGTGGTTCCGCACTGCAGCAGTATCAGCAGGAGCAGCTAGTGTACAGCCCCTCTGTCCTGGGAGACTGCTGCAGTGCTCCACACCGCTTCCATACACACAAGAACACAGCACTGAGAGATAGTCACACGTACCTCATCAGTAAATTTTATGTACTTAAAGGACCCATTTTACACTCATTTCTGATCTCTATAATATTGTTGTTTCTTCATCGCAAACATACCTGGAGTTGTCTTTTATTTCATTCATTCATTAATTGCTCAAATCCTGCATATTTAGGCTGAGAGAAAACACTCTGTTCCACCTTGTGATGTCATGTGGTAATACAGGAAGTACTCCACTGTATTTTGAAACTTCATACAGCTTCACTGGAGTCATTTAGACTGACTAACTAGCTGATTTAGATTTACTGAACAAAGCATAAAAAGTAGCTGTTAACTTGGAAACTATAGCTTGATGACATCACAAGGTGGAACAGAGCATTTTGAACATTGGAGATATATACAGACTAATAATAAAGGGCTATTCAAACATGTGAATGAAGCAAAACATAACTCTGTGTATGTTTTTGATGACATTATAATGTGACTTAAAGCTCACAATTTTGCACAGATTGACCTAAATACCTAAACTCTGCAATATAATCTACTTAACTCACTTTGCTTACAACTTTGAGTTGAACTTGTAACACTATCCAAATTTCCCATTACAGTTTGTAATAATTCTATTGCAGTATGGAGGGTACAGTAGGCTCAGACAATGTTGGAATATCAACTATTCTCTTTGGTGAACTCACTATGAATAAAAATAATTTAAAGTCAAGGATCGTGGTTTAGTTCTATTCATTCATGTAAATATGTACATTTTCTAGTACTTCTATCATTTACAATTGCTTACAAAAAATACTTTCCGGGAAAATATAGAAAAAAAGTTTTTTTTCTTATATTGATCTGCTCGTCTTGTTTTAGCCCCTCATAAAACCATTTCGATTTAGCATCAGACTTGTGATTTGAATAATTTATGAAAACTGATGTCATAATGTCTGGCCCACACAGTAATTTGTCTGTGTGAGTATAAAATGGATAAATGGCAAATACAAATACATGTGTATGGGTGATTTTTAACAATACATTTGTGTTTGAACTTGGACAAAGTCTGCTAAGTCGTATGTTCTTTGTGCTAATTCTCCTACGATAAAATATTAAAGGTGTGCAATGTTTTTTGTTTGTTTGTTTGTTTTTAAGGAAGAATATTCATGCATTCTTGCTGTGAGTTTGCATTGCCTCTCCATAGATCTGACTCATAACAGGACTTTGTATGATCACCTGCTTGTCCCCATGCAGATAGACATGTTCATGGCCATACTGCAATAACATCTCCATTGACACAAGTGTGGCAGACCCTCATCCAAAAACATGACATAACTTTTAAATTGCAATTCTATTCTAAAAAGTACAGAACACCATGCCTAGCCACAACATCACACTACCACAACATTGCGAATAGTTAGATTATATTATGTTGAATGGCATATTTAAAGAGCCAATGTTTTCTGATCTATGTTATAATGTTGTTTCCTCATCAAAAACATACCTCCACTGCTCCACTGTGTTTTCACTAGTATCATTTGGATTATTTCAGCCCTGGAATGGCTAATCTCTACTGAACTAAAGTTGAAATGTAGCTGTTAACTTCAAAACTACCTCTTTGTGACATCACAGGGTAGATCAGAACATTTTGAGCTTTGAATTAGTGGACAGACACATGTGGGAATGAAAGAAAACACAATTCCAGCTATGACTTTGATGCGTTAACAACATAATAACATGGCTTATAGCTCACAAGAGTCAATTTTGTGTAATAGCTTTATTTTAGGAATATGAAGTAAATGTGCTTTAGTTTGAGTCAGACATAGCATTACCTTTCACATACCTGCTCCCCTCCCTGCTCTCCTCTTTCTATAACATGATATAGGGGGCACATAGCACACAGCAGTAGATCTTTCCTCAGGCTGTTATCTGTCGGGGTCATGGCTTCATCATCATCCAAAAGCAGGCTCCTGATTTCCCATTCTGCCCTGAACGCACTGGATGGGCAGCCAGCGTTAAATGAGGCCTTGGGCACCCGGGACACCTTTCCGCTGCCGGGAAATTGATAGGAGGAGAAAGTCACCTTCATGTGTGCGTTATCATGGCAGTTATGAGGCCTGGGAGAGATATAGGGCTACTGTACATTGGGTTTAATGTTATGTACTTTTCATGGTTTATTATTGTACGTATGGAGGTGTTTAGTGCATGTAAACATGTTATTCAGGGAGAGAGGCGTTTCTATTGTAGTCAGACACTGTGGAGCAAGGTTATGGATAACTACTATATTAGCTACAACATTTTGATTAGTTAGCAAATAAGCACAATAGTGACTGGCAACATTATTAACATGGGTTTCATATACATTATATTAATCTCTAATCTAAGTTATACTATGTTTAGATGTTCTTCATATGTACTGAAGCCATTACAGAAACAATGACCTAAAACGGGTTGCTTAAACAAGTATATGCAGAGAACCTTGGTAACCAGGATAGTGAAAAAAACAACAACAAAAAAAACTGTTTATTGTTTATTTTCATAATTAAAAGTGTCAGAGTGTTTCTTATAGTGAGACATAAAAAAATATCCTTCTTTTGAAATATATGGAAATTTACGATTCAACTGTCATTAGCTTTAAATATTCATTTTCTGACCATAAACAATAGGTTTTTCTCCAAAGTCTGAACTCCTCTTCAGACTACATTTTTGCCATGTTTTTGATAATTTTCTCCAAATAATGTAATTAAAATGTACTACAAATCACCCAGCCCTTTTTTTACCTCAAATTTTTAAGAGAGCAATAGTATGTAGTCATGTTTTGTGCAGTTTTCTCTTCGCGTTGAAGTATAACAAAATATTGGCCTGTGCTAGAGATTTAAGTCCGATAACTGATGTGCTGAAAAGTGCAAACATCAGCCCTGTATATTGTCCAAATCATATATTGGTCTATCTTTATTGTAGACCTGTCTGTTAGCAAAACCTAATCACATGATTGATGACTAGAAATTTGATTAATTGCACAGCCTTGTTTTTTGTTTGTCAAAATTAATATACGACTTCATTAAAATTCAAAACTTGTGTCTCCTTATTTGCTGCCAGTAAAAATTGATAGGAGGACAAAGTCACCTTCATGTTGTCATTACAATATTCTCACTGTGGAAATGGGCCCTTTCTCCTTGGTCTTTCCTTTGTGTTAAACTAGGCTAAACCTTAACTCTGCTGCTGCTGCTCCCTTAAGTCGAGACCTCCACTCTCTTGCATTGCTCTATTTATTGCCACGCTATAACCACTACCACTCTAACCTTCATTGATGGCCAGCCCAAGTCGTAGGCTCCGTTTTACTGCCCTGGCCTGCTTCTTTGGTGGATACTTTAAATTATTTATAGAAGTGCATTGCTCTAAGCAGCGGTTAAGCCCTGGTCTGCCCCTCTACTCTCACATATGGTTTGCAAAGCTGGGTGTTAGCATTATAAACTGGGATTTGGATGGTCAGATGTGTTAAGTGCTGCACGCTGTTGTCACCTTGATTTCCATGTTACAGATCAAAGCAAGAATCATCGGCTTTTCTATACTTCTGTTGTTATTTGTTTTTTAATCTATAAAGCTCAAATATGTTTGCAAATCTCTGTATAATCTGTCATTTTAAAGGTTACTATAGACGGCCGTATTTATTCATTCCACTCATGTCTTCATAGTTATATTTTGGCTCCATCTAGTGGTTGAAGCTGGTAGTTGCTAATGAGTAACCGTAAATTATACAGGGAAAATGAAAATAATTGCTTATATGATTAGTGGATGTTGATTTTATTTGCTCGCTGTAATTGTTTTCTGCAGTCTTATTGTCAGTTTACCATGGACATATTTAGACATCATCAGCTTAGTTATACTTTAACAAAGGAGATAGTATCCACAATAGTCAGCTATTTAAACTGTAGAATAGATTATTCTTTTGAGGCAGAGGTGGGACCAAGTCATTGTTTTGCAAGTCTCAAGTAAGTCTCAAGTATTTGACCTCAAGTCCAAGTCAAATACAGGCAAGCCCAAGTCAAGTCTCGAGTCACTGGCTTATAAGTGCAAGTCAACGTTGTCTGCTTTCAGCTTCAAGTCATTTCAAATCTTTAAACCAAAGTACCAAATATAGCTTACATTTTTGCATTTCATATGATTTTTAAGATAAATTGTACTTATAAAATCATAGTATATTTATGTATGAATATTTATAGAATATACAGTATAAGTGTTGTAGAAATGCAAATTTTTCCTTTTTAAATGATAGACAAGATCTTAGTGTGAATTATTACAGTCAGAATAGAACGAATTCAGATTTAGAAGTGCTTCTCAAGTCTTCTCAAGTCCAAGTCAAGTCCCGAGTCACTGACAATCAAGTCCAAGTCGTGTCCCAAATCTTAATCCATTTTTTCAAGTCAAGTCTCGAGTCCAAAAAATAGTGACTTAAGTCTAACTCGAGTTCAAGTTACGACTTGCAAGTCCCCACCTCTCTTATGAGGTATTACATTTTATGCTGTGTGGTGACTGAATGACTGAATAAAATGTTTTTCAATGTTTTTCAATTTGACATTCAGGGAAGTCAAGTGAGAAAGTCATAAATTCACTAACGGCGTGATTTTCTTTCTGTTTTCGTGCAGGGGCGCTGAGAGGTGCAAGTGTGTGTGGTCCTGCTGAAGTGGCCCTGCCCCCCTCCCTCCTGCCCCCATGTATCCTGAATCCACCACCGACTCTCCCGCGCGCCTCTCCCTCCGACAGACTGGCTCTCCGGGCATGATCTACAGGTACAACACCCGCCATGGCATCTTGAGTGCTACCATTATCATAACTTTACTCTATCTCTGTCATATCTGCTTATACATGGAGGAAATATGTGGAAAAAGTGCACTATGGAACTTTTATGGTGGAGGGCGCTCCACCTGTTTCCATGGCGATTGCAGTGCTAACACCAGTACTTGAGAGCTATATAAATTTTATTCCCTATTTTGTAACATTCTAGGATAAACAATGACATCTGAAGCAAGTAGTGGTGGCACTAAGGTTACATAGTGCCACTTTAACTTCACCTCACTGTGCTTTGATTTTGTGTGTTGTTCTGTCTTGTGTAAGTGCCTTGTAGTGATGTGTATAGTAGTTGGTGTGTTTTCTCTTACTGACTGATTCACGACATTACTCAAAGTTGTCTCATTTAATAATGTTAAGTGATTACAAGGGGTGGATAATCTCTTAATTAAATATTGAATCATGATATGTTCTATTTTCAGACTCAAACACTTGCCACTCCTGTTTGTCAGTTTACATTTTGTTCAGAGAAGGCCTGTCACGCGAACAAATTTTGAAGCACGATATATTGCTACAGAGAAATATAATGACAATAAAAGTCCTTTATTCAACTCTATGCAGCTCAGTAATAACAAATATTGCCCCATTATTGCAAAGAAAATGTACACACGATAATTGAGCCCAAAAAATATTATTCCAGCTTTCATATATTGAATGCTAAATCAATATAGTAATTACCATGACAGCCCAAGTTCATAGTGACAGATGAGGTGAGAAGCCTCAGAAGAAAGGGATAGATTTACTTGCCTCATAAAGGTGCACTATGTAACTTCTCTGTCTCCAGGTTTGAAAAGGTCCACTAGAAAAGTTATACACTGCACTTTTAAATTCAATATCATACAGTATAAATAACAATGTGTTTAAGTAACTGCCAGTGTTCGATATTAACCGATATCAGTGTAGGGATTGAAAATGGCATTATTTTCTCTCAAAATATGGTTAACTTATCACAAATTTTAGATTGTGTTATGTAACTGTTATGTATCTTGCAAGTAACTACCGTACTGAACTGCTTTGTATGAATTAAAGTTCAAACATCATGAGACTGGGCAGTAAAGAGTCCAAGATATCCAGGATATCGACTGAACCGATATCATGGAATACTAATACTGTAATTTTCCCTGAGTCAGCACCAATATTCCTTACTACTATCTAGGGATGTAACAATAACCGAAATATCATGATATCGTATCGTCAAAGTTCTCACAATAATATCGTGGATTATCACAATATATCGAATTATAAGTCTCTTTGCTTAAATTAAGAGTTATGGTGCAGCAATAGCTTAAAAAAAAAACAAACAGAGGGAACTACATAGACCATGATCCTTTGCTCCATTTGTTGTTGTTGTCCTGTGTTATATGTGGACCTGAGGAAGAGTAGCTGGTATCACAGACATCAGGTAATGGAGATCCCAATAAAATCAAAAATACAAAAATCTAATTTCAGTGTAGACTACATGAAGAAATCACAGTTCTAAGCACTTTTAAGCCTTAGTTCTTTGGATTAAGTCTTGTCAAGGCATTTTAAGAGGAGAAATATTAAGTTTTGTTAGCCTCCACAAAATATCGTAATAAATATCGTACCGTGAGATGTATATCGTGAAAACATTGTACTGAGAGATTTAGATATTGCTAATGTGAGCCTCTCCATCATAAGCTTTCCCACGATATCGCAAAAAATATCGTACCGTGAGGTTCATGCCGTGATGATATCGTATCATGAGACTTGGATATCGTTACACCCCTACCACTATCGTATCGGTGCATCCCTACAACCATTCTCAAGAAATCATGTTTTAGGCAGAAATATAAACATTTGACACTTAGTTTTTCCAAGAGTCAATAAAATATCTCCTTCCATACTCGCACTAACCTGTTCTGTTTCTGCTCCTGTCAGACTAACCCTGCTCTGTTGCTTTTCTCCTCTGCTTCTCTCACCTCTCCAGTGCTCGCTATGGGAGCCCCAAACGGCAGCTGCAGTTCTACAGGTACTTCTATCTCTTTCTCTCCCTCTCTTCCTCTGTTTTATTCTGCCTCCCTCTCCCTATCTCCCCCTCTCTCTTCTTCTCTCTCTCTCTCTTAAGTTCAGTATTGTTTATATGATGTCTCTCCTGCATTGTACACTTCACACAACAGTTTGCATACATTTGACTTATTCATAAGCTTGCAGTGCAGTCTGTCTCTGTCATTTTAAACCCGGTGTGTTCATATGTAGGCGTAGGCAGTATAGCTTTAGCTGGCACTGCAGTCCTGCCCTTAAACCTGATCGGGCGGAAAAGGATTCTGTTGCAAGGTTGCTCTGAAAACCATTGAATCGACAATAAGAGGCTGCAGTGATTGCATTGTTCTGTTGCTGGTGTATTTATTTTTTCCTATCTGCAATGCACTGATCACGTGTCCAGTTCTTACGTGGCCAAAAGTCTTTCCTGGAATTTTGTAAAACTGATGAACTATGGAACTATGATTAAGCAGTTTTTTTGTTTGTTTGTTTTTTCTCATGGAAATTGAAATCAAACCAGATCTGTAGTTTAGTTTGGTTGTGCAAAACTGCTAAAGTTTAAGAGTTTTGTATAATGGGATCATACAGTAGCACTTGGTGGGAATGTTAATGTTATATAAATGTATGAGATGTATTGTAAGGGTATAAATACAAAACTAAATACTGTAATAAACTCTTTATTTATCCGTATTAATGGATAAAGGTTCAGTATGTAACGAGTAAATATTTAATGCTCAACTGTACTCAATCGATCGGTCTACCTTATTTCTCCCAATAGGGCAAACAAGAATCACATACACATACATCAAACCAGAGACTGTTGGTGCTTCAGGGGCACAGGCAAGTCAAAGTCTGATAGCTGATGATAAAATAGATTTGCATTGTGGTTGGTCTGTTGTTGAAGGGTGACATGTCGCCCCCCAGAGGGCATTAACAAGAACTGCAAGTGCAGAAACATGGTTGAGCTCTTCAGGGAGTCTTTTGTAGCCTTCTTTTCCTTCCCAGCCATATGAACACCAGTGATAACTTTAAATTAAAACTTAGAAGTGGGAGATATAACTGATAATATAATAATTGTTTGGCATCATGTCAACTACATGAAGAACTATATTTCAAAACATATTACAGCACTTTTACAGCATTTTTTACTGTTCATTCATTTTTTATGGGATACTTGAACCTGAACCAAGACATTTACAGGCACATTTAAAAATATTCAATATCATCAGTATAATCCTCCAAAAAATAACAAGGAGTTATTTTTGGTCAATATCACACATGTCTATTTGCAATTTCCTAAACTTTCACTACTAAATAAGTATACCTACCACAATACCTTCCAACTATGTCACTTTAAATGTTAAATCATGCTTGAGTTTAAAACGTGTCCACTTGGTGATACCAGGCCCCCCTTAGTGATGAGTGTAGTGTGGTCCACTTGTGTCGTGTGTGCTCTGATCGAGCAGGCCTGTCGTAGTAAGATCAGATTTTCTCCTGAAGACATTTTTCTGCTGACTCTGTGTTATATTTCCCTGACTGAGGATGAGCCAAAATCTGCTCAATATCAGATCTTTATCTCGGCGCCTGTCTTCTCTTCTCTTGAAAACTGTCCCATGCAGGCTCCTGTCTCTCCCTGCTTGTACTTTTACTAGCAATACTCAAGTCCCATATACATTGCCATAAAGTACATTATTATCAGTTTAAAGCATTATTTCTGTTATTAAGAGTCATGAGGTGAAATTGTTTTTGAGGATAATAACAAGGCAAATATGTTTTTTTTTCCTAACATAATTGAAATGTTACATAATTTTTGTTGTATTTTGTCTGTGTAACTGTATTTATGACATAATATAATACAATATATATCTCTCCAGTATCATATTTCCAGCGTATTTTTTACATTTTTTATTCTTGCTCAAGTCATTTTGATATTACACTGCATGTATTTGTAAGCCTGTCACTATATTTATTATATCGATGTATGTTAGAGAGATAGCAATATTTTTGAGGCTCAAGATTTATTTTTAATTTTTTGTACTTGTTCTTCTTGTATGATGATATTTGAGCTTTAGAGAGTGCTATGAGTAACTTATATGACTCATTATTGACACTACTAAGGTGTTTCACTGTGCTATTTATTGCATCTGATGTCATTTAGAACAGGCTTTATGTGGATTATCAAGTGATTATGTGGTTATGTAAGTGGTATTGACTAGTTTCAATAGTTTCATTCGTATTTTTTGTAGCAATTTATCACACTTTACAATGTGCTATTATGTTAGGACTTGTCCCTCCCTAATCTGAAAGTGCATTGTATTTTGTGTGTGTAACCTCATTTATGTGGTGGTCATTGCCACTGACTATAGCTCATTATGGTGCACATGATATTGGCCCCTTGGTGGACGCTGAGATGCTTTTAGGCTGTTTCCGGTCCGGCTCTCATTAGACCTTTTTACAATGAAAGACTGAGTGCTTTTCAGATGATAAAGGTCGGGAGCTGTTGACCACTAGGCTTTAATGGAGGTGAATTAGGCCATATCTTGGCTTGAAACAAGATTCATACAGTAATTTCCTTCTTACTGAGTCTGTGTGAGACTTGATTGAGAAAGAAATACAATTAACAACCACTCACAAAAATGAAAAGCTTGCATAACTGATTGATGGATGATTGATGCTTGGATGTTGAATGAGTTTGAGTAGGTGCTATATTGGTTTCTTCTTATGTTTTTAAACTCCATACAATTTCACTAGGATCATTTGGATAAATTCAGACTGGAATTGCCTATTTCTATTGAACTAAAGGTGAAAAGTTAGCTTTTAACTTGAAAACTACTTGAACTTGAAGATGGAAGAGAGCATTTTGAGCTTTGGAGACGTAGACATGTTGTAGATGTAGATTAATAAAGCAGTGTGAATGAAACATGTGTGAATGAAACAAAACACAACTCCAGGTATATTTTAGAGGACGTAACAACATTATAACATTGATAAAATCTCACAAGAGTCAATTATGTGTAATATAGGAATTACTTTTTAGGAATTATTTTGCATACATAAAAATATTTACATGCTTTAAAGCAGGGGTGTCAAACTCAAGTTCACAGAGGGCCAAAAATAAAAAACTGGGCCTAAGTCATGGGCCAAACTAAATACTTATTGAAAAATTTCAACAACATCTGCATGTTTTCTCTTCTTTCCAGATATGTAATGTTAAACCTTTTCTTATTAAAATAAACGTTTAATAATAGTTTGGCTTAAACAATGAATCTAGTATATGATAATATATACTAGATATATAATAAATATAAAATGATAACTAAATTTTAAATAAATAATGTCTCAATAGCCTATCTGTTGCCGGTGGGCCAGCTCTAATACATGTTTGATATGATCTCGTGGGCCAAATATAATTGTATCAAAGGCCAAATTTGGCCCCCGGACCTGACTTTGACATGTGTGTTTTAAAGGAATATGCCAAAAAACATTAAAGTTAAGTCCTAAAAGATTTAGACTGTATTAAAATAAATTTTGTAACCACAATATGAAGAGCACTATACCTATTTTATCTTATTTTGTTGTTAGGTCATGTATCAAAGTCCAGATTTTGTGCACATTTCATACATGTTCAGGAGCATTAAGACAGAAGACTGAAATAGGAAATGATAAACTAATAGAAGAACCCCATGTGTTACCGCTTGTTTCTGTTTAGACATTTGTCTACATGGTCTCATACTTCATAGCTGTCCAGGAAAGATTCATTTTTGTCCCGACAAACAGTCTATTATATAAATTAGATGATTGTGATAACCATCAACTTTTTTGCAGTTTTTTTGATGCATGACCTTGTTGCATTGACTCTCACCTTGATCTTCATGGTGCTGTGGTAATCCCCTAGTTACTTAAACATATTTGGTGGTCTGACTGGTCCTCTGGTGCCTAAAGCTCCACCTCTCTGTGTTAATGTGCATAAAGTGCACTCAAACCATCACGATTCCCCACCTCTCTCTCTCCTCTCCTTTCCTGTGGAACAACAATCACTGGCTTTTAGTGGTGAATTATTCAAGCCTGATATATTTTTTTTCTGCCGCAGTTAGCAGAAACAGCCACTAAACAACGGTAAATGGATTCTCAGGGGCGGGTGGGGCTGGGAGGTCTGTGGACAGCATCAGGAGCAGGGAGGGCATCGGGCTCTTAATTGGTTTAGACGATTCCTTGTTGGACACTCCCTTTTTTTGGGTGGATCCGCTTGGCTACTCCGTCCAGCCGTGTGTTTATATAAGAAGCGAAGACCCTAAATTCTTGCTCATGAGCCGACCCCAAAGAAACCGGGTGAGTTCCACTGGCATATTATAGTCACTGTTGTTATAGCAACTGGAAAGGACTTGCGCGTAAAGTTTGTGGATGTTGCTACGTGGATGCATGCTGCCTATAACTTGGATAATTAAACCCAATTTGCACCGAAATGTGGGGAAAATAGCTGTTTGGACGAACTTTGATGATCCGAAACATTTGATTATTATGTAAGTAGTGAATTTGAGTCATATTTGAAACACTGTCGCAAGTTTGGTTGGCAGTTTGAACAATGTAGGATCTTTTTTATAATTGAAGATACGCTATTTTTATCGACTTTTATTATTTAACGTGACTAAACTTTTTGCTGGTACCGGGTGTCTGTTACGGCAGCGTTGTGAGTTGTTTTGAGCAGAGGAGCAGAGATAGTGCTGTCTAAGTGGTATTTCCGTGAGTAGACATTTAAAAGATCAATATGGCTTCTAGTATCTGTCTATGCGGCTATAAGTCATGCAGTGTTGAAGTGTGCTCATTTTAATAGCGTTATTTCTTCTATTTCTGTTTGATACTTTACTGATTGAGGCTTCTCTTTTGATATTTAAATTTTTGCGTACACATTTGGAAGTAGCACTTTGACTCAGATAACTTTTGGATACTTTTTGTTGGTTTGCTTGTTTTTTGGAGAAATCATTTTTATTC